GCATAGTCTTTGTAAGGCTCAATATTACAATTGTTTTTTAGAGGAACTTGGATTCAATTCTAAAAATTGTAATCCAATTTATAGTTTACCTTTCGAAGAAGGAAATTCTTCAAAACCATACACTGTATGTCGAGGCAACTTGCGCTGAATATTGTTCTTTTTTATACTGATTTTGGCAATGACCTGTTGTATTCCTCAGTGATATCTAACAAACTTTTTCTTCTGTCTTTACCAGTCTGGTCGAACCCCAAAACAGGGGTAAACGGAAATAGGAAAAATCATACCCCAACACGGGGGTACGAGCATGCGCAGATGCTTAAATAACAAGAAGCAGAATAAGCAGAAATAACAATATTATCGATCTTTTTTCCTAGGATAGATTATATAAGCAAGTTTGTTTATACGATACGACAAGAGTTGCTGTTCTTGTGCATTACATGACGGGAAGAAAACCATCGTTTGAGGGTAACCCCCCGTTTTAGGGTTCGACTAAACTGTTTACGATTCTTGCTTGTTTTTACGATTTCTGCCTCTTTTTTGACTGAAATTTTGAAATCATCTAAACCTCATATTACTATTGATAGAGCTGTATGCATGATCACGGACTGTCATGGATCGGGGTCGTCCATTTAGAGGTTTATTTACAACGTCGCCTCGCTCACCAAATCGCTTTAAGAATTGACATTTAGTGGAGGAATTCAAATTTAATAATTCGACGACTTTGACTGCATTTAATCCACTTTCAATTAGTGATATTACCATCTTTTTTTCATCAACAGTAAGTTCTCGTCCCTTTTGTCCCATGCTTGTTGTTTAATTTGACAATGTAAAAATAGCATAAGTTATGACTACTTCCGGTTTACAAAGGATTTAAATAATCTACGGTGGCTTGATGGTGACAAATAAATTCGTTAAGTGTAAACTAAAATTTTATCGAAAAAGCTGATTGAAATCTTTTACAGCGGCCAACTTGAATAAATTGACATACCTTGATACAGTGGTGTAAGTCTTCTGCTCAACTGCTTCTGCTCGGCGCTCTAATTATATATGCGTCAGTGACGCAAAACACGCTTACCAATCAGAAACATCGCGCGCCTGATCATCAACAAACCCCAGGCGATACGCGTTATCCCAATTTCCATGGCAACGCAAAATTGTGCACATGTTTCACAAGAAAATATAAACAAGTAAAATATTATAACAACCTAAATAATCAAAGTAAGTTTCGTAAAAATTATAGAATATTGACATTAATCAAATCGCCGCATCTTTTAGCAACCATGCGGCAAAAACAAACGCGGTAACCATTTACTTAATAATAGATACTTAATAATAGATAAATAAAAAACCGTTTCAATTATGCGATCATGTAGACACTATAGTACAATATCGGTAACAATTCGTTTAACATTAAAACAATATCAAAGTCTTAAACAGCGAAGAAAATAAATTGTATGCGGCAATATACATCGTCTGATAACAATCGGGGACCATATCAAAACACATTTTAAAAACACGTATTTAATAGCTATAGTTAAAACATCGCAGTATAATATACTAGTACTGCCACTTCATTAGTCACATTTGCCCCTGTTAAGAATTGTGTAAGTCTCTTTTGGGTTATTTTACAACGATAAGAAATGTCAACGATGCAAGAATGAAAACATTAACTCAAATGCAAAGATGAAGGTATGACAAAACAAGATAGTAGGATGATTCTATAAAAACAATGTAAACATGAAAATATGACAACAATACATGAAAATATGACAAGATAAGGATAAAAATATAATAGAAGCATATAGATAAAGACATCTATACTATCACAATAAATGTTAAATACTGGTAACATGAGGTATGCTAATAATTAAACACAAATTTCAAAAGCATTACTAACTAAAAGATAGCAAGCAAGTAACATGTATCATTATCTTCTTGGTTTTCAGAGAGTTCATTCAAAGATCATTCATAGGATCAAAAATGGACACGATTCATGTAACTAAGCTCTTGGTGAAAAATATTGAAGTAAGAACACGACTTGACCTGTCATTTCAGTGCCTCAAAAGAATATCAAACACATAACAAATTATCAATTCTAATGACACTTATCCCAAAAAGACATCAAGTTATAATTTAAAAAAAATGAATTCATTATCATTCAAAACTGTACAGTCTCAAAATAAAATATGGAGATAACGAACAATATTCAAGCTCAAAGTCCATTTAGACAATACAAAACGAGAGCAGAGCAAACACGGACCTCCAAAAACATCATAGGTGGGATCAGGTACCGTGGAGGAGTGATCATCCCCTGTCGACCGGTCACACCCGCCGTGTGCTCCTTGTCATGATCGGGAAAAAACCCGTAGACAATGCAGTGTGTAAATAATGGCCTAACAATTAGTATGAAAAACGTCAGTCATTTGGCTTAATGATAGGTTGTATTTGCTGACAAAGTCATTGTATCGACCATAAAACTTGCCAAGTGATGACCTCAGACGAGACTGTTGATATCCTTGTTTCATCAACTTGTTTGTCAATAGCTTGCCTCGTTTTAGAAATTGTTCATACATAGAGCATGCTCTTGCGTATTGAATAAACTGGGAGACAACAACCCAATATGCAAGTGAAAAGGATATATAAGTAAGGGAAGTTTACGATTGAAAAATTGAAGTCATCATTTGTATCATAAAGCTTTGTTGTAAGGTTACCATTAAAGTCTATTTCTAGTAAAATATCAAAAACAGATGTGTCAGACTCTTTGGTATATCTTTTATTTCAAGCTCACTGGGATATATCGAATCGATCATATGAATGGAAGTAACTATTTTTAATTGATAATACGTCGTCGATATATCTAAATGTCGAGTTGAAGGCCGCAGTAAATGTTCAATTGTTTTCTTCTCATGTAGATGTTTTTGAATAAATTCTGCTTCATATGAATATTACAAAAATGCTCCGCTAACAAAGGGGCGCAATTGGTACCCATGGGAATTCCAACATACTGTTGAAAAACCTGATCTCCATAAACTACATAGAAACTCGAGCTTCTTTTTAATATCAACTTCAGAGTACTTGTGTGTACAATTCAGAATCCCTTTTAACAAAATAATTTTGCAATTGACCCATGACAAGGTAAGTATATTTACGAGTTCTATTTATTGCTATCCGTTTTTGTCTGTCGTGCGAAGTGCGTTAACATTTGAACATTTTTAGCTTCTCCTCTGAAACCGCTCAACCAACTTCAACCAAATTTGGCATATAGCTTCTATGGGTAAAGGGGAACAAAAATTGTGAATTTCATGGTCCCTGCCCCCTGGGGCCTGAGGTGTGGGGCTAAAACCGCCAAAATTAATGCAATCTTTAAAAATCTTCTTCTACTCCTGGACATCAAGCAGTCAAACTGTTGGCGTGATAGTAATAAGCATTGAGCTCTCTACCAAAATTGTGAAATTCATGGCCCCGGGGTCAGGGGTTCTTGTGATAGGGTGGGGCTCAATTTATTAATTAGGGAAAATGCATGAATTCTTTCAAAATTTTCTTCTCTGCTCCTGGGCATTTTTCAAACAAAGGAAGTGCATGGTTATGATAAGGAAGAATGCCTCTTCCAAAGTTGTGAAATTCATGGCCCCAGGGTCAGGGGTTCTGGTAAAGGGGGGGGGGGGCTCTATTTATTATATAGTGAAAATGCATAATTTCTTTCAAAATATTGTTTCTACTACTGGTTACAAAGCAAAGAAACAAGTGTGTAGCTATGATGAGCAAGGGTGCTTATTCCAGAATTGTAAGCTTATAGCCAATGGGTCAGATGTTCTGGTGTAAGAATGGGGCTTTATTTATTTAATAATATAGTGAAAATGCATCTCTTTGAAAATTTTCTATGCTTCTTGGCATATTCAAGGCAGAAAAAAATTTTAATATGCAAGGGTATTTTTACCAGAATTTTGAACACCTGGACCATTTAATCAAGTGTTCTGGTCCTGGCCAGTGCTCTATTAACTTGTGTTCTGCTGAACAAAGTTATTCCCCTTTGCCATTCACCTTCGATAATAAATCACTGTAAATAATATATTTGAATGCTTAATAGAATAAGAGAATTATGCAAGAATATTTATTGTATGATACAAAAAGTACTTTCATAGTTGTAATGATCAGGTAGACTTGGAAATAATAGATGAATAAAATTGAGACAAAAATAACTTATCTTTTTTAATTGTTCTTCAAAGGCCGCGAGAGGCCAATGTGAGAGGTAATTATATGGAGTTAAAAAATAGACAGTTTGTTAATAGTCTGCATGGTAATAGTGATAAATGGGGGACAGATAGATACAACACCAATTATTTTGTTGATGCAAATCATACTATTTTTCTTGCTTTGGGCAACAACGTTAACGCTTCATTTATCAGTTTATGGATCCTCTAAATTGTTGTATTGTACTCAGGTGACCGTTAATGCCCTTTGGCCTCTTGTTTATTGAAAAAGCAGCTATCAATGATGACTTTAATTTATCGTGGGAATGGTAGTATAAAGTGTTGAAAAGTATGTTTTGTTGTTATTGAATTTGTCAGCGGGGACATACTGATCGTATAATCTAATTCTTGTTTCACATCTGCATTGTCTAGACAGAAGGATAGATGGCATTATACAGACATTACACAACATTCAAATATTCTAATGACATATTCAATAGTTTAGTTTTTATCTTTCAGCAGGAAATCGGTTTGATGTACAACACAGGTATTTGTCAAGTGTATGCTATTGTAAGTATAATATGATAATATGGAAAAGAAAATGAAGGATATAACATAAATTCAAGCAAATACCACAGATGCTTCACTTTACAATAATTAGAATTACACAGAAAATCCACATCTCATCCCTGTCCTAACCCTATTTCCCAATTAATATAAAACAATCAAATTTTAACGAGTTATTTTATCTAAAGGGAAATTTACATAGCTTAAAGTTAATGTCCATAATGTTTGCTGTTTTTATCAGGTTTAAAAAATGTTATCAATGGGAGATGGTCTTCCATACGGTTTCAGTTTCCCAGCAGATGGTCGTCTAAGCATCTGGTAAGCAACAGATTTTAACCGGGAGGGTCGCGGAGACTTCTTGTAAGATACATTGGGGCGCTCACTCTCCCTAGGAACATGGTGTAAGGACCTCATCTGCTGCTGTGTCTGGTGTTGTCTAAGCAGCTCTTCTAAATGGTTGTTGGCAAGTGTGTTGTTTCTCAGGGCCCTGGTCTTCCTCTCAATGATGGGTTTCAATATCATTCTTCCATGGTGAAGTGTATCCCTGGTGGTTTTGGGGGGTGTATTTTTCAGGTCGAACTCACTGCTGTCCTCCAAGATCAAGAACTCATCAAGGATGGATGCCTCCTCTGAATTAAGGGATGGAATGGTGTTCTTGCAGACTGATGGTGAGGCAGGGACAGCAGAAGAGGAGCTGTATGTAGAGGAAGACACTGCAAGACAGAATGAGCAGGCATAGCTGGTGATGGCTGAAAGGCACGTGGAGTTATGGTAGGGCACGTATGGAGAGACAAAGTGGGAAGCTGAGGAATGGTGGTACCGTGGGCCTTCTTTTGCTTTCCCATGCTCTTCTTGACTCTACTATGCTCCACTGCATGCCTCATCATGGAGAAAACAATCTTCCTCTCTAGCCTGATCTACTCCTGAACTTGAACAGTGTATGTAGACATTGTTGCTGTAATGGACCGAAGAATGTCGAACCGTTTGAGATGCTTAAGTTAGTGTAATTGTAGTGACTATACTGGCTTAAAGAACACTGGTAAGGCTACTCATCAATGGTAAGGTGTTGCGCATGGAAAGTCTACTTTTGGAGTAAAGAGGAAAATAAATAACTATCAAATTCACATTGCATGCTTTAGTGATACTTGCCCGTATGCGATGTTATATATATGAACGTTCCAAAGAATCAATCAATACATTTTATTAAATGTTTAATGACGCTTTCCAAGGCTTTATAACATTTGTAGAATTAGATTGTGAAACTTGTACTACAAATTGTTTCAAGCACTTTGAAAAGAAAATGACAATACTTCATAATATTTAATAATATTTTCATTAGAAATAATCTTTGGCCAAATATCGTACAACCTTAGGAAATTTCTTCACACAGGAAATGCACTTGCCAAATATGTTTTATTTTCTCTCATTGAAAAGTTATAGCCAATGATATGGCTTTCATTTCATACAAGTGTACTACCTGTGACAAGACTTTTCCAAATTACCTTTATGTTTCATCATGCTGCACAATCTCACCGCAACTCTGTTTTTGCTGAGTTATGATCAATGAAATCAACACCAATGTTGAGATGAAATGTCATTTATTAAAAATGACGAAAATAAGAAAAATATATACATAAACATGATAGGGGATCAGACCAAAAAGGTATTTAACATATCAATATGCTGATCTCCTTAATTTACAGATAAACAATATTTGCAAAAAATATAAAAAAAACAGTAAGTATACAGCAAAAAGATGGCACATCAAAAATAAATATGCCAGTAAAATGAAAAATATATAAATGCAAAATAAGGTAGGAAAGACTGGGGTGGTGGTGGGTGTGCCAAATTTTTTGGTGGTATCGATAGCATAGATGAGGCGAGAATGACCCAACGCTGACTGGTCAGCTACCGACAGCATCAAAACACGTGACGGTCATTTCTGATTGGCTATTAGCATACATAGGGGTAAGGTTTGACCATGGAAAATTTTCGAGTTTGTAACAAGTAGCCGAAACTGAAGAAATGGGGAAAATTGAATAACATGCACCTGACACCTGCAAGGCATGGGAGAATTCCAGCAGATGAAGAAAAATCAAAATACTGAGTTTTAAAACAATACAAAATAAAATATACACTTACTTACATTAAAACAAAAGAAAATTAAACAGCATTCAACACATAAATGAAATTATTTACATAATTGTTGTTTGTTGTTTGACTTGACTGCATTACTTTAAATTGGTCATAACTTTTGAATGAGAAAAGATAGGGCTTTCATATTATACATGTGTATTACCTGTGACAAGACTTTTCCAAATTTTTTTATCCCGTGACCTTGACCTTGAAGTTTGGTCTACTTTTCAAATATTTACTTTGCTTATAACTTTTGATAGAGGAGGAATGAGGTTTTTATATTTGACATGTGCACTATCTGTGAAAAAATCGGTACCATTCCAAATATACTATGATTTTTGACCCATTAACCTTGAAGTTTGAGCTACCTTTCCAAAATCTTTACATTACTTTAAATTGGTCATAACTTTTGAATGAGAAAAGATAAGGCCTTTTTATTATGCATATGTATTACATGTGACAAGAATTTTCCAAATATTCTATTATTTATTACCCCGTGACCTTGACCTTGAAGTTTAGCCTATTTTTCAAATATTTTCTTTGTTTATAACTTTTGATTGAGGAGAGATAGGTGCATTATCTGTGACAAGACCTTTCCAAATAAACTATGATTTTTGACCTCTTGACCTTGAAGTACTTTTCCACAATTTTAACATTACCTTAATTGGTCATAAAATTTGAATGAGAAAAGATAGGGCTTTCATATCACATGTCTACATTACCTGTGACAAGACCTTTCAAAATATATTATAGCTTTTGACCCTGTGACCTTGACCTTGAAGTTTGCCCTTCTTTTCAAAAAATTAATCTTAGCTTGTAACAGATAGGGCTTTCAAATTTGACATGTGCATTACCTGTGACAAGGTGTTTCCGAGAATGCTATGATTTTTTTTTTTACCCCTTGACCTTAACCTTCATGTTTGATCTAATTTTCAAATATTTAAACTTCGGTGATTACTTTTGAATGACATACATAGGGCATTCATATTTTACAAGTGCATTACTGTGTCAATATGTTTCCGAATGTGCTATAATATTTGACCCCTTGACCTTTAAGTTTGACCTAATTTTCAAACATTTTTCAGTGTTGCTAACCTTTGAAGGAGCGAAGGAAGGGCATTCATATTTGACACTTGCATTACCCGTGACAAGTATTCCCAAATGTACTATGATTTCAAGACCTTTCCAACTGTATACTTTCGTTTTTGAATTTTTTTTTTCACATGTGCATGAAATATATGGAGATAACAAACAGTATTCGAGCTCAAAAGTCCATTAAACATTACAAAATAGGAGCAGAGCAAACACGGACCTCTAAGACATCAGAGGTGGGATCAGGTGCCATGGAGGAGTGAGCATCCATTGTCGACCGGTCACGTCCGCCGTGTGCTCCTTGTCATGATCGGGAAATAACGGAAAAATCCATCGACAATTTAGTGTGTAAATAATGGCCTAACAATTAGTATGAAAAAAGTCAGTCAGCATTTGACTTAATGATAAATTGTATTTGCTGACAATGTCATTGTATCGACCATAGAACTTACGAAATGATGACTTTAAACGAGACTGCTGATATTCTTGTTTCATCAACTTGTTTGTCAATAACTTACCTCAATTTAGAAACTGTTCATATGTAGAACATGCTCTGGTGTATCGAATCACCTGAGAGATATAAACCCGTGTGCAGGTGATAAGGGTATATTGCTGAACATTACTTGTGACAAGATCTTTCGGGTTGTATTATGGTATTTGACCTTATGACCTTGATCATGTTTTCAGAAGCTCTAATCTTTGCCATAACTGTTATTAATTCAATAATTTATGTCTTTTGTATAATACACAGACAAGACAGGACACACAAACAAAACAATTACAATATGCCATAAATAATGGCATCCCATCCACTGGACATCGAATTAATTTGCTTGTTGCTACTTAATATACATGTCATATGCAATGTCAGCTACTAAATCTAACAGATGAAATACAGAATAAAATCAGTTTTTACGAATATTTATTTAACAATAATTATGGTATTTCATAAGCAATTTGATATGGTTATCGAAGTATTTTGCTGTTATATCATTAATTACACATAATGTGACAAAAATTCCCTAATACACGTACGTCATTTTATCGGGTGAAAACATTGTTCAGTTTATTGCCCGCTAAACGTAACAAGACTCCAAGGAGACATAATTGCTCACAATAGTCACATTGATCTCACAAACAATGACTCTGAAAAGAATAACTGTATTAGGGCCAACACTTATATAAACTATCAACAAGTTAATCACAAAATACCGTATAGTGTGAAATTATAAATGTATTAGGCAAATTATAGTCTTGTTAATCATGAAGAGTTTGTAAACCTGTCTATTTCGTAAATTCTTTGGGTTCTGTTATGGATCAAATCGGGGAGGGGGGGGGGGGTAAAAATAACCGAACAAAATCAACAAATATTAATAAATATTAATTTCTTGTGACGTTTATAGGGTTTTGTAAAGAATAAAGATTATAGAGGTGACGGTGTAATAAAAAAATCTGCTGAAATGTGTGCTACATTGTATTTTTCATGTAGAACATAGAATCATGTATATCTTGCAATTTATAAAATGGTATATAAACAAGCCATATTGATGCCTTTGACGCCATGGAGTATGTAATTGATTCAATCTTTTACATCAAGTCTCAATGTTTCCAAATCAAGCGTTTCAGTTCGATACGAAAATCAGGAAATCCAGCTGCGTATACAAAAATATTGACTACTGTTTGTGTCTTCGCAAAAAATGTTGGGATGATTGAAAAATAAATGGAAACGTTTACTCCAAATGTCACCAGAACAGCAACGCAAGCATATGGAACCCATGCGACAAGAAACGCAACCATTGATCTTCCGATGTTCTGAAAAATGATTTAAAATATGATATCATGGAGTGCCCTACCTAAAATTTTGTCCATCACTTAAAGATAATGTTCTGGATTAAATATTTTTGTACGATACGATTCGATTCTTTTTTCAACCTGTCATAGTCTATCCATTTATCTGAATTGAATTTATATTAAACCTTTTCCCAACCCAACAAAGAAAAAATTGGAAAATAAAAATGATCCAAAGCAAACCAGGAAATAAAATTACTTTTCATACATGTACTTACCTATAATAAAATAGACAGGTAAAGGAAAAAGGTTGGTATTTTTACCTTCAATACAGTATCCTGTATAATTCTGCCTTCATTTCTAACTCCATGGCGTGGGTTTGAAATACTTGTTTCCGTATCCCCGTCAGGAGCGAGGGAAACTGTTTTTCTGATCTTTACAGAAACTTTGAAGTAGAAGATGGTAATAATACCAACAGGTAAGATAAAAACCAAAAGGAAAACAGACATAATATAGGAGCGGACGTTCTCGGATTTGCTTGTCCAGTCAATGGAGCAGGAGGTTCCGAACGGTTCTATACCGTACTTTCCCCAGCCAATGAAAGGGAATGTGCTCCAAAGAATGGCATACAACCATATAAGGCCTATAGTCAATCCAACTTTCTCAACACCGATAAACTCGGCTACAAAATTAAGGAAAAAAAAGAGTTTAATAAATATGCCAACCTCTGAGGTAAATTAAGTGAATGAATTATATGTTATTTACAGTGCATGAGTTTTCAGATTTTTTTTATAACCAATACAAAGATTTTTTTTTTTTACCAAAATGATACATTAATTATGTGCTTAATTTTTTGTTGTATTGTGAAGGCAAACGCTTAGTGAATATACTTACATTCTGGATTACAGACCAGAAGATAACGGTATATTCCTAGGAAGGCATACGTCATAATGTTACATACTGCACCCGAAAACACAAAGAAAGCATATAGCTGACAGCCCAAATCACCAAAATACCACCTAAAAAGTAAATTTTGCAAGGGATCACACATGAAATTTAAAATGCAATTAAATTAAAATCTTGCTGATCAAACAGATGTGTTAGCCCTTCGGATGAGACCGTATAGACCGAGCATATATCGCTGTTGATGCTATCACGAAAATGATCCTTTACTGTTCAATTGTCGAGTACAATTCACGGTGGCCCACTGTTAGTGAAATGTTTCAGAACGGACGTTTAACAAACATTTAATGTAGTATTCTGGCATTACACAGTAGTTAAGATACTTCTGAACATCTGAGATTCTTTTATTAAACCTTTGATATTAAGATTTGTAGGTAAATATGAACATTGAGGAAAATGTACTCACCCACAATAAATGTTCGATATGATTGCCATCGGATACCCAAGCAACGACTCAAAAAGATTAGCTATTCCAATGTTGACTATAAAGAAATTGGCAGAATATCTTGCAAGACGACTCTTTGTGAAAATATATATGACTAGCGAGTTTCCACAAAAGGAAATGACAGCTGAAAAAAGAGAACTCGGAATATTGTATCCGTGAAATCAACCTTTGATCAGAAGTAATTTATTTTAAATCACTTGGACTTAATTATATACTTCATAACACTTAAAATTTATAAGTATACAAGTTATCTTGTTCATTACAACTACTCTTTAGTTACCTGTGAATGTCAAGTAAGCGGAAAGAATGTAGTAAAGATTAGCAGGTAAAGTTGTCTGTTCCACTAACGACCCATTCTGGAGCAGAACTGCTGAATTGTTCATAATGTCAAACAAGGTAACTTTTGGGGCAGTAAGTTCTGTGTTGCACCGTTCGGTATCTTCCTTGGCAGAGGTTACGCAGAGAAATGACATCCAAGCAAGAATACTCAATAATGGCAAAGTGATAATGGTCCGATGTGTTTTGTTAAAATAATTTTGTGGGAGTAAATTCATGTTTTCTATTTACAATATACGAATTCATTAAAATAGATGGGCACTGTTTATGTCATGTATGTTTTAATTTCAAATCGAATTATGAATGGGACATGATCAGGAAATGCATTCAGTTTGTCATAAATTATCAAAATTGTGTAAGAATGCCTTTGCTACATCAAACAATTTTCTGTCATTATCAGGTAACAATGAGTAGTAAAAATGCCATCATGGTTATTTCACAGCCATTGATCAGGTAAGGCTATAACTCAGCCAAATTATATACAATTTATTTATCTGTGATTAAGCTTTCCGAAAGTATTGTGGATGTATTGCATGATGTATATGTAATACATGTTCCCTAACTGTCCAAATGCAAACTTAAAGAAACTATGAATTTAAGAACTCATGATGTTCTAGCTTTTAAAATAGACAGATATATTCCGATCCAACTTCCAGGTAAAGCTTTTCATGATACCCGTCATGGCGTGAAGATATTAGAATCCTATGATATACTTGATGTCACACACTACGCTTCTTTAAAATTCAGTCTACAAATTCTAATTCTTAAAATATTAATTTCAGCAAGAACTGAAAAATATGTCACATACATTAAAAATAAAATAATATTTCAAAAGAAATTAAAATGATAAATAGACTTCATGTAGAAAGAAACTTTTGACTGATTGCGGACAAGAAAAATACTCTCATGTTCTAATCTGTTTACTTCTTTTTGTTTTGTATTCTACGACCTTCCACCAACTTTTATATAGGTGACCTGCGTTTTACTTTCCCTCCACCATTCTTTTGAAAATATGAACCACGTGTATCATTCATTTTTAAAAAAGACAGATTTTGAAACGATCTTTGCTACAAAAGGTATTTGAAACTTTAATTTATGTATGAAAATTGCTAATAAAAATTTGAAGTGTAAGAAGATAGTTGCTGGTTGTTACTATGAAATGATCTGCAGTGATGAATAGCCATTTCGTTATAATAACTACTCGCGAAAGTTAAGAAGTCTACAGTATTCATTTTAGCGTTAGTCTGGTGCCCAAAAATTTTAAAGACAAATATGTGTCTGCGATAAGAAATAAAACTCTCCATTGTTTAAATGATATGATTGTCCTTTGGACCTGATTGAACGATAGACATATAATTTTAATCTACTCGTATACTAGTAATTCGAACGAATCAGAGAATCACGAATACAAATATGGCGGATCGATTTAAAGCAAGAGTGTCCTTACTAAATTTTGTCCCTTCAGTTATTCGTAGAAAGCACATACAAGGTCAAAAAGGTTCGTTATAATGAATTTGGTGGTTAATTTAGTGCTTCTTTTGTATTCTCAAAAGATCGTGTCGAAGCATATTAGCTTCATTTTACGATTAAGACTTGGATTATCTCACAGTTTCCCATTTTCTCTTATTATTTACAGATGTCAAGGATTGTCAGTATGCCAATGATTCATAAACACAAGGATATACTTCCGTCCTCTGATAAAACAGGCTGAGGTTTGTTTGCTGCTTTGTGTCATTCATAATTGCTTATACTTGTCGCAGGAAATAGAAATGATAAAATGTTTTCTCTGGACTTTGCTCAAGGGACATTTACTTCCTTATAAATCTAATACTTAAGTTTTAAACAAGTTTATGAAAGGTCTTAGATGTGACTGAAAACAAAACATTCAAAGTTGGATAAACTTCCACACTGAAATCTTAAGGGATTTATCTCGCATACCACAATGTCTCCAAACAGAAAATACACAACTTTGCGTTTGATAATGATTTTTAGAATTTGTTTTTGTTCATATGGTCAACCTCTCATCCAAATTGAAAGAACAGAATCGAAGACTTTGGACAAAAATCCGGGGACTGCTCATTTGTACGAGGAGATTAGAAAACAGTCGATTCAACTCTTAGATGCAGAGCACAAAGTCTCTTTCATCTCATCGGAAATAATGGGTATCTACAAAAAAGACGTAACAGATTTGATGAGGAAATTTACAGAATTATCCAGGGATGCTGAAATCGTTTCACAAAATTTGACTGAATATGGAAACAGTGTCGACGAAACGGATAATTCCCTTGAAGAATTTTATGAAACATTTAATATGCTGTCCAAAAATGTCTCTGAGTTGTTGTTACATTCGAAAAGTCAGGAGAAAAGGGAAAATCTTTTAGATGAGGAAATTAGGGGCTTGGTGAATCAAACAATAATTGCCAAAAACGAGTCGCAAAAATTACAATCAAGCTTTGGTGAGCCTCCATTTCAAGTGTTTAATTAAAATATACTGAGTTTTCATTTAATCGTATGATTTCTTTCAAAGAAAATAATACCTTTAGCAGTTTAAGTAACAGTTACCTGCTTCGCGCCTACCCATCATTGATAAGTCCGATAGTATTTATATTCTCTATATTACATTTGCTTAATTCGATGCAATCTGGCTCATATACTTTCATCAAAAGTGTTAAGTAGATCTTCAAGACATACGCAACGTAGATTTGAAGTTTATTTTCTTATTTCTTGAATAAATTAAATGTTGCAATAGTGTAATTTTATGATGCCTGGTAATGCTGTACACCTTTCCTGAATCAAATTTCGAGGAAATACCTGTTTAAAATATTTTTTGTTACTTTTTCTTTTAAAACACACAAGGATTTTCCGCATTTGAAATTTGTTCAAAACTCCGGGTTATGAGCTAGTTGTTTGTCTAAGAAATCTGATGGTACTATGATTTTCAATGTAGAAAATTATCAGTGGGAAAGGTACATCATAAAGTACATGTATATTGCATATGACCTTAAACTGTAAATTCCTGTCCGTGTATGCATCTCATTTCTTTTTGTCCAAATCTAGTTCATACAGGGTGTTTCAGAAAACATGCAAACATTTACTTTCCTTTTTTGTTGATATGCAAACAGAAACACCTTAAATGGACACCATTTAGATCATATTTTGTAACTTAATGACATTTTACAATATCTCTATATTCAATTCTTTCGTAGCTCATTATCAATTTGAGGGATTGTTTTGATATTCATTATGACATAAAAATAAATTTTGAAGCTGTTGGCTAGAATTGATAGAAATCCTAGAAAAATGGAATAGTATGAAATGGTTTCATTTTTTCTGAAGCACCCTGTATTTTATCTAGTGATTTAAACCAAGTCTCTAGTTCCATGGTAATAGTCACTGTGTCATCTTCAAAATGTCAAGGTTTTGAGACATCATTCCTCTACACAAACCCTTGACAAAAGTCGCTATAAAAAAGTTGAAGTAGAAAGCGATTGTTTCATTTCTTCCTGGTCTTGGACTGGGAACCATTCAGAAATTGACTTTAATAGTGGGCAAAGTTTTGAAAACAAAAATGAATTCTCGGTGAAATGGAAAGTGTCAATTTTGAATTGGGGACCAAACACATGAAATAAAATAAGGGAGGTCAATTTTTAGAAGATCCTTCACCTCACAAATAAAAGAAGTGCTGGGCTATGAACCACTAGAAAACGACATCTGTGTTGAAGTATGTTTTAATGTACTGATCAAAATGTCAAAATTAGATTTCAAACATGAAAATAAACAAAACCAGATGTAAAAATTAAAAAAAAAGAACTTCAGTGCATTATCTTCAGCATATTCTCATCGATTGTAAATGGATTATTACTCCCCATTTACGTCATGTTTAACCACAAGTCCGACTTTTAAATAGCGACATTAGTCAAGGATTTGTGTAGAGGAATGATATCACAATCCTTGACATTATAAAGATGTCACTGTGTATAATGCATGTACACTGTACTTTTTGACACTGATTCATTCTTCCTTCATGGGGATACATGTATATGATAAAGAACGTACACACACATTAAATCATTATCATTCAGTCAAATGCTGACTGACGTTTTTCATACTAATTGTTAGGCCATTATTTACACACTAAATTGTCGACGGATTTTTCCGTATTTCCCGATCATGACGAGGAGCACACGGCGGGTGTGACCTGTCGGCAGGGGATGCTCACTCCTCCATGGCACCTGATCCCACCTCTGATGTTTTGGAGGTCCGTATTTGCTCTGCTTCTATTTTGTAATGTTTAATGGACTTTTGAGCTTGAATAATGTTCGTTATCTCCATATATTTCATTATCAGACTAACGAATATTTTATAACAATACTTGTACTTTCTGATTTAATTTTTTTCCTCCCCTTTGAGCACATGACCGGGTGTGACCTGTCGGCAGGGGATGCTCACTCCTCCATGGCAGCTGATCCCACCTCTAATATTTTGGAATGTGTTTGCGTGTTTGCTGTACTTCTGATTTGTATTACTTGAATGGACTTTTGAGCTTGAATACTGTTTGTTGTCTTAATATTCCATTGGTCTAATCTGCTTTTTGCTTTAGCGGTAGTTGCGATACATGTACATGGATGATCGCGTCGGTCAGGGGCATGATGGATGGGGCTAAAACCAACTAGAGTTACTGTTAGCAAGCTCACAAAATCATATACTCCGCTGCAATCTTTTTAAAGTGCCAGTCGACAGAGGATGCTTACTCCTCCATGGTACCTGATCCCACCTACGATGTTTTCGGGGGTCCATGTTTGCTCTGCTCACAATATCATGTATTTGTATAGCTGGACTTTTAAGCATGATCATTGTTCGTTATCTTCATATTTTATTTTAAGAGACAGACTGTTTGCAATGTTAAAACTAATTAAATGTTGTTTATAAGAGTACATCTAAATAATACATGCAAAGAAATTTTAATCTTGAACTTTTCTCAAGCCCTTTTCAATAAACAAATATCAATTTAAAATAGATGTTATAAATTTTAATTTCATAAATTTTTGTTAATTGCAAATACATGTATTAGCATTTTTAACAGTGGAAACAAAGTTTTGAAAATAATAAAAATACAAAGAATTCCCTAAGATTGAGATTTAGTATGCATTGATAATTTCATTTAGTACATGTACATATATACTAAATAATAAAAAAAATCCGGAAAGATTTAGAGATGGAATTTGACCTATGTTTGAGAATCTCTACCCTTAAACATGTTAAATTTTATTATTATGATGCGAGAAAATGCTGATAAATTGACTAGACTATAATTACTAACTGAAATATATTTTTATTGTGCATTTTACGAACGAAATGTATAACTTTATTTCAGATAGCATGAAAAGAAATCCAGTTGGTTTTACCGTGTATCTCGGACAAGATGCTAACTACACTGACAAGAGCAGGCTAAATTTTGCTGAAGTGATATCTAACATCGGAGGACAGTTCAATAGAGAAGATGGCGTGTTTAACTGTCTTACGTCTGGGATGTACTTGTTTTCTGCTACAATATGCTCCCAGATAGGTAGTCGGGCTCATGCTTCCATTGTACAAAATACGAATACCGTCTTGTCGCGTTTGATTGCAGAGGATAAAAATACGCATGATTGTGGTAGTATGGACGTTGTCTCAGAAATTCTTTCTGGAGACTTAGTTTGGATAAGGTCGGAGAACTTTTCCATGTTTGATACCCAAACTTACTTTTCTGGGGTTCTGATCATGAAAACTGTCTAATTAAAGATAGTGTAACAATCTGTTTTCGACCTCATAAAAACACGTACTGTTCTAAAAACTGTCAATCCGATTGATACCATAAAGCTCCTTTTGTAAATATTATTCAGCAAAGTACGATTTGTGCATTACAAGATACTAGTATCAGGTTTATAAATTGTGTCAAATTTTCCTAGAAAATTCCACTTGTGGTCAATACAGAGTGATAGAAAAGAAGCAAGTAGACGAAGGGAAATTTTAGTGACCAAATTAAACTTTACACAGCTATTTTATATGCTACAGTGTATATTCCTTTCAACTTCAAATAACTGACTCAATACCTAATCTAATGTTGTTTCTGTCTTTAAGCTGAAGATTTAAACTTTTTAATGATGCCGATTTTTATTATCATGTGATAAAACACCACGAGAACTGCCTTGAAGTTATAATCAAAGGGGAGTAACCAGAATTTTAGATTTTACACTTTTCTTATTGTCTTTCTTTTATTAGACTTCAAGGGAACGAGTCGGTCTTAGGTGAAATTTGTGAATTATTAATAATATTATAGAAATTTTACTTTGACGTTTGTATAATTTTTCTTAGAGTTGTTTTTACTAGTATGTTCATTTCACCGTACATCGGACACAAACTAACCATGCATCGGACAATTTCCGATGCATGGAGTAACCACTTCCCTTTTCATAAAGAACCCAACTGACACCTGTTTTTGCGGAAATAGAAACTCAAAATGTCACTGATTCAGTGATAATACAAGTTATCGATATATGACTAGAAGTGGACAATTTATTTCTACAAACTAGACGAAGATAACCCACAAGACAAAGGTGGGACTTGCCATATTACTTGCATTGTAAAGCCTTTCATAGAAGATATGCAGCTAAAATTTCTCAGCATTTATAGATCGATATGATAAAAAAAAATTAAATTAGAAAGTTTATATTTAAATAACTGATAAAAATATTTTCATTTCACTAATTCAGAGGTATGACATTTTTCCGGTACAAATACCGTTTGGCCGATCATGGTGAATATTGTCCGATCATTTAAAAAAAATGTTTTATAAAGATACCTTCTCAATGAATGGCATACAGTTGTGTCACAAATTTATATATTAACCCCATACTACATGGTAAGCATAGGCACTCCCCAGCTTAATTGTTAAAAATACTATAAACATAACAAGGCATGAAACTAGCCTCCATGTTGGATTCCGCTTAGGGGCACTTTCTGACTAATAGCGAGAATTTCTCGCCCAAGTCGGACTTTTCTAAGACATCGGAAGCTGTCATTTATTGAAATAAAATCAAATCAGGTTGAATCTTGCAGTACATTCGTCGCATTCACGCGTTTTCTAACATTTCTCTGCAAACCAGGTCTCCTCGGCCGGAACTTGAAGGTTTATGGGGGTATAGACAATCCGATCGTCGTTTACCTTCAAAGTGCATCTCGTGGAAAGCTAACGTTGTTTTTCATAACGAACGAATGTACTGTGAAATAATTATAATTTTACATCTATAGGACCTTGCAAGATTTTATATACATTTTTAGGCCCATAAAAAGCTGTTTCAGTGTGTGCTTGTTTGTGTGTGTTTGTGGGGTGGGGGGTGGGGGGGGTCAACCGAACACCAATTGACAAGAAAAAAATATTATTGAAGGAGGAAAATCGTGAGTTAGGTTTGTTTTCTATTGCATAGTATATTAGTATATTCAGGTATTGGCAAAATTATAGGGGCGACAGGAGGGGGGGGCACGTTTAAGCAGATGAGTCGTCAATATAGAGGTGGAATTGACCGGGGAGGGGGGGGGGGTTATTGACAGTAAATAAATATAATTAAATAAAGCGGAAATTTGCAGAAGTAAGTTCTGCATGAAAATTGCGAGATGTATTGGAAGAAAAGGAACTATACACAGGGATAAGACTTGGCTTTTTTTTTTTTTGAAAATTCAATGATGGTACAGAGACACCAAAATAGAATAATATAATTTAGAGGACGAAAATTTGATTTTAAAGAGGGGGGGGGTGGCATTTTTTTTCGAGTCAAAATGTTTATTTTCATGTCATTGAAGGACAGATTATTTATTTCCAAGATGATTTGGGACATTTTTTTATTTCTACTACACCAAAAAAAAGTGGGTAGGGGGGGGGGAAGAGAAAATTAGGGTGCGTGCGGGGAGCAAAAGGGGGGGGAGGGTTACGATCACTCAAAGTCAAATAATTTATTTGCTTCCTAGTGGAAAATAGATATTTTTCAACATTTTCAAGGACAGATTTTGTCATGTGCAAATTCACACTATAATTTTGCACATGAAGAAATTAATAGTTTAGCACTTTGTGTATATGTTTGTGTTTACATGTGGTTGTCGCAGTGAAATCAGTGCGGGCGGGGCTCAGGAACTTCATTGTAATGACATATACATAGTAATCTAGTCTATTAAATGACTCCTAATCTAGCTGCCTTTGCATTTGTTAACTGGACTGAAGCTGTTTTTTTTTGTCAAAAATAATGCCATACGTGCTATTATTCTCAGTGGAACACTGTAATAAAATCGACAAAGAGTGAGCTGATGAAGTTAGTTTCAGCTTTGTAAATATTAACGGTGATGTGAACATGCCAAAATATATATTTAGAAATAATTACCCTTACAAAATATGTAAAACATCCAAACCGCTTATATAATATTTTAGTGAATTTTTGAACTTGTTATTAAACTTTAGAACTGTCCAATTTTATTATAGTATATCTGTATGAATCCATCTATAAGAAATAAGCCCCACTCTCAGGATAAAACATACATGTACTTGTATATTTATTTATTTAGCAATAAAAGTAATACAAAAAACTTTACATGTATGTAAGTAACACACTTTCCAGAGACGAATCCGGGATATCAAAGGTTGGGGGGGGGGTGTCAAAAAGATTAAGTGGCAATAGAAACTCATAATACTTGTAGTTAAAATTAGTATTAAAGCATGAGTTTTATCAAGACTTTCGTTTAAATATTGAATATGTTCCCCCCTTTTTTAAATTTGAAAGGGGTTGACCCCCCCCCCTTGATAAATCTGCCACTGTCTTCAAGACTGCTTATAGATATATATATATATATATATATATATATATATATATATATATATATATATATATATATATATATATATAACCTATTGGCACTGCTGACTTATAGACTAACCGGTAGACAATATATTTTCAAAAGTTCAAGTATCTGCTAGACTTCTTTTCATCAATAGAAGTAATAAGAATGCAAAGAAAAATCCTATGTCTTATTGTTATACACATACAAACATTTCGCAATAAATTTTGTTCATTTTTGAAAATCAAATGTTAGTTTTCCGTAAAATGTCGTTCTCGTACTTTGAAGGTAAACGACGATCGCATTGTCTATACCCCCATAAACCTTCAAGTTCCGGCCGAGGAAACCTGGTTTGCAGAGAAATGTTAGAAAACGCATGAATGCGACGAATGTACTGCAAGATTCAACCTGATTTGATTTTATTTCAATAAATGACAGCTTTCGATGTCTGAGAAAAGTCCGACTTGGGCGAGAAATTCTCGCTATTAGTCAGAAAGTGCCCCTAAGCGGAATCCAACGTGGAGGCTAGTTTCATGCCTTGTTATGTTTATAGTATAGTAGATACACATTTTTTAACAATTAAGCTGGGGAGTGCCTATGATGGTAAGCTCTATTTTGATAAAATATTCGGTCGGTAGCGATATCGCTAGAACTTGTTGAATTACGAGGGTGTCTGAAGCAAGGGGAACTCACCGTATATTCATAATTGCACAAACTAGTCAGTGACAAAAAATGTATAAAATGTCATTTAATGTGACAAAAGGTAAAAAGAAATATAAGCCGAAAGAAATCAAGGAGGACAGAAATCCTCATTAATTCTCACTAAAAACATTGATTTTTCCGCATTTTTTTCCTTACCGAGCACACAGTTCTGAAAAAAATCCTTGTTATTGGAAGATGTATGTATTGGTTAAATATTATAAACTTGACCCATTGAGAAGTACTCCAGTATATATACCAAAACTAGACAATAAAATCCGTTTATTAAAGTCGAGAGTCATTTCATAGATTATAATAAAAAAAAATCGTCATCAAACGTTTATCAAATGTAAATATAACACTCACATAATGATAATTTTATCTCAGAAAATGTTCATGTGCATTAGCTAGGTAAGAAATGTTTCATGAATTACATATTTCGTTTTCATTTTGTGTACTAAATAATTGAACGTACTAATTTGAAGACACTTGGTCTTCAGGAGTTCATGTAGAGTGTACTACTTAAGAAATGAAGTCCGCGTTATCGTGAATGTTGCAGGATAACCTCCGAGGTCGAGAAATGTTGTCGAATTAGGTCACCATGTCGCGATTTTGCTGTTCCATTTAACACCAGAGTCAATTTGTTTGTTTACTTGTGTATCGATTGCATAAAATGCAGACGGTTTCAGCTTTCGTTGGATTAAAAATATCCTTTAATTATTTATAAATTTGTTTGTAACATGTATTGGTTAATTTTTTATGAATGTAAAATAACAAAATCAGTTGTCAATTTCATTGCTTTATCCGTGAAATCACGGAGTGTAAATGTTGTGGGGAGGTCCGTGGAACAACCCGACCTGGCTACAACAAGGATATTTATCAGCTGTTTCAGGGAATACACACTATTTCGACTGCGTAAGACGACACATCGATATGGTCTAAATAAGTATTAGAATCTACATTGAAATAATTATTTCAACTACAGGTTTGACATGTGTTTCTGATCTGATGATTTTTTGATGACGTTCGTGATTTATTGGAGAATAATGTCCGCGGCATTTCTTTGATCTCGTCAATAACTGTGGTAGAATAATAAGACTTATCAGGACCAAGCGTTCTGAAGTAGATTTATCCTATATAATCCAATGCAGGACTTTGATTCCGTCTGCTCCCACCCTACATGTAGCTATCCCCAAGAAAAATAATTTGAACAAACATGGATTGCACTACCT